GACGATAGGCATTCATTCCGCTTTTGTTTTATAGTAAGATTATGGTAAAGCGAACTTAGATTAGTTTACTTGAGGGTCGTACCGCTTAAGAAATATTGGAAATTGTCGCCCCTTATCTCGAAAGGGAAATTTGTTGGAAGTTGGGTTTTCTGCTGTCTTCACAATGCTCTCTGACATAAAAAAGTAGTGGTGATAGCCACTGTTTTCTCTAATTTTCCTTGAATATGATGTGGTTCTCAAAGGTCAGGTAATATTTCTGGTCTAGAATATTTGACTGGGTTTTAAAAAAAGTCAATGTACGGACTTGCAATAATGATACCTCTGGACTAGTCTTAGATTAGTAAATACCTTATTTAGTCAGTTGTAAGCGATCCTTTCACAAAATTTGAACGGTGCGCAAATTGTGATTTGAAAACGCTGCGAGCGGCGAAGTTAACAAGGTTTAGTTGTCGATTTTGTATCTTTGACTTCATCTCTGCATGACTCGTCAAAGGAATATTTGCAAATTTCTTGAAGTAGATGTTCTGCTGTGTTGTGTGGAATGTTTCCTCCTTTCTGAGAAACCTCCTCATCAACTTACACTTGGAAATGGGATTTATTTCAGCCCTGACGAACACCTCCAATTAGTTCAAATTATTCTCAAGACGAAATCTTTCTGAACTGAAATGTGTCACGTCAACCAATCATTTGTTGCAAAGCATTTATCGGCGAAATCCATTAGCTACCCACATACCTGTGGGAAGAAAAAGTGGGTCACTAGGCTCACGTATTTCTCTATCATGCACCAAATTTGATATCTTTTGTTCTTATACTTCTGCACTTGTCGAAGAAGAAATGCAGGGCGCATCTGTAAGGTTGCGAAAAATTTTAGTTGATTCTTTTTGCAGTTTTTTTTCTTAAAGGACATCTCTCGTCATGGAAATTGAACGTCAAGAGATAGTGGCAGTATTCTATACGTTCATTTATTTGGCCTCACTAAATATAGTTATTTTAGATTGAAGATAATAAGGCCTATTGTCAAAAAAGGCTTCAGATTTGTTTGTATAAGCCCTTTTCCACTTTTTTCTATCATATGCTCGCATACGCGACTTCGTTAAGAACCTCTACGCAGTAAAGTCCTTTCTGTTCACGTTGTGTCAATAGTTGCATACGAGTTTTTGATCCTCAACGCTCATTTACCTGTCACGCCTCCATCAAGCATCATTTTCTATTCAGTGTGGTTACATTGCCGCATTCAATGGTTGACAACTCTTCCCAAAGAAGTAAAGAGGGCGAGATTCTCAAATCGTTCTATGGTTTGCGCGCCTTCAA